CTCTCTCACTCACACACACACAGGCACTCTCACTTATTCTCTCTCTCACACACACACATACACACACGCACAGATACTCTCACTCACACACATACATACACACACACTCTCACTCACAAACACACACAGACACAAAAACACAGACTCTCACACACATGCACACACAAACACACATGCACGCACACACACACGTGCACACACACACACTCTCTATCAGACACACACACACAGACACTCACACACACACACTCTCACTCAGACACACACACAGACACTATCATTCTCACGCAGGCACTCTCTCTCACACACACACACACACACCTACGCACACACGCACACAGGCACTCACACACCCACACACTCACACACAGACACTTTCACTCACAACACACATACACACACGTACACACAGACACACACACAGACACTCACACACACACAGACACTCTCACTCACTCGCACATACACAGACCCTCTCACTTACACATACACACATACACAGAGACCCTCAATCTCACACACACACATTCACTTACACACACACTCTCTCACACAACCACACACACAGATACTCTCACTCACACAAGCACTCTCACTCACACACACATACACTCTCATTTACTCTCTCTCTCTCTCTCTCACACACACACACAGAGACACACACACACTCTTACTCACACACAAACATACACACACACAGACACTCTCTCACACACACACACAGACACTCACTCTCTCATACACAGGCACAGACACTCTCATTCACTCTCACACACAGACACTCTCATTCACACACACACACAGGCACTCACACACACACACACCCAGGCACTCAAACAGTCTCACTCATACACACACACACAGACATTCTCACTCACGCACGCATGCACACATACACAGACTCTCATTCACACACACATTCACTTACACGCACACTCTCACACAGTCTAACAAATACACATAACCACACATGCTGTCATAGACACACTCTCTCACTCACACACACACAGACACAGACACACACACACACACACACACACACACACACAAAATCTCACTCACACACACACACACACAGGCACTCTCTCTCTCCTACACACACACACTGTCACACACTCTCGTTCATGTACACTCTCACAGACACACACTCAATCTCTCTCTCTCTCTCTCATAGACACACACTCACACACACACACACACACACACACACACAAACTCTTACATATGATGGCTCAGTGGTTGGCACTGCACCCTCAAAGAGCCAGAGACCCAGGTTAAATTCCACCCTAAGGTGACTGTCCATGTGGAGTTTCCACATTCTTCCTGTGAATCTCTGGATGCTCCAGTTCCCTCCCACAGTCAAAAGATGTGCAGGTTGGGTGGATTGGTCATGCTAAATTATCCATAGTGTCCAGGGATGTACCAGGCTAAGTGGGTTAGCTAAGGGACATGCAGGGTTACAGGGATAGGGTGGGTCTGGGTGGGGTGTTCTTCGGAGGGTTGATGTAAAAACTGAGGAGAAATATTCATTAATAATCAGCCCCATTGCCTGTGGCTCCACACATAGACGCCCATGGTGATGTTTAAGGGGACCTGTTCTCTCCCTAACCACCCTTTTACTCTTGATATAGCTACAGAACCTTTTGGGGTTATCTTTAACCCTATCTGCCAGATGCATCTCATACCCTCTTTATGCTCTTCTGATTTCCCTCTTGAGTGTGCTCCTACACTTTTTATAGTCATCTAGGAATTCATTTGAGCCCGATAGCTTAAACCCAATGTATGCCTTCTCCTTTTTCCTGACCAGAGCCTCAATATCTCTCATCAGGCAGGGATCCCTAAACCTGCCAGCTTTTCCCTTCACCCTAACAGGGACATGCTGTCCCTGGACTCTTGATATCACACTTTAACAAGCCTCCCATTTGCTAGTTGTTCCTTTTCACACACACACACACACACACACACACACACACACACACACAGACTTTACTCTTGAATTTTCTGTTGAGGCTGAGGCAGGTAGATTCTTAATTCCCAAGGGGGTGAAAGATTGTCTGGGGGACACACAGTAATGCAGAGTTGAGGTCACAATTAGATCAACCATAGTTTTATTGAATGGGGACACAGGCTATAAAATGGTTGAGTGGCCTGCTCTTGTCCTTTGTTCATAGACTGTCTTATCTTAAAAATCAAGATGTTGCATTCTTCCTGAGGAAGCAGCTGTTTAGAGGATAAATAGCCAAAGTTCCTCTTTGCCTGCTGAGATCTTGTACTTGCAATTGCACCCAGTAAGCGATATCACTCAAACTCACTCAGTCTCACACCATGGAACTGTCCCTAACTTCAAAGGTCATTGATTAGCATCGACAGGATAACACCATACTCATCTTTACTTTGACCATTTGATGGACTGAATTAACCAGTAAGCACATCCCCCACCCTGCCCATCCAATCCTCAGGTCCCTCATGCCCTCAGGAATCAGTGTGTTTGTAGAGTAGGACAACAATTACCAAAGAGCCAACTGAAGGGTCTTGACAAAACCGCAACCAGAGGGTAAAAGGATGGATAAACTATGTGCACACGCACATATGAACACACACACACACACACACACGTATATACCAATCCACATGCATGCACACACACATGTACAAGCTCATGTGCACGCATATGCACACTTGCACATACACATACACGCACATACACACACACACATATGTACATGTACATACACACATTAATGAACACTCAGGCACGTACATGCATGTACAGACACACAGGCACACCCATACAAACACGTTCATATACACATATGCACACACGTACGCATAGATGCACAGACACAAAAATTGCATTTTGATTGAGTTGTTCTCATTCATGTTTGAGGACATGTTTAGGTGAACTGGTTAATGTTTTTTTCCATTAGAAATACATAAACAAATGCTGACAGAGATAGTAGGAACTGCAGATGCTGGAGAATCTGAGATAACAAGGTGTAGAGCTGGATGAACACAGCAGGCCAAGCAGCATCAGAGGAGCAGGAAAGCTGACGTTTCTGGTCTAGACCCTTCTTCAGAAATGGGGGAGGGGAAGGGGATTCTGAAATAAATAGGGAGAGAGGGGAAGGCAGATAGAAGATGGATAAAGGAGAAGATAGGTGGAGAGGAAACAGACAGGTCGAAGAGGCGGGGATGGAGCCAGTAAAGGTGAGTGTAGGTGGAGAGTTAGGGAGGGATAGGTCAGTCCAGGGAGGATGGACAGGTCAAGGGGGCAAGATGAGGCTGGTAGGTAGGACATGGGGGTGTGGCTTGTGGTAGGATACGTGGAACAATCCCTCTTCTGAAGCTACACTGGCCCTATCCCACACCTCTTCCTCCGTTACATCGATGACTATATCAGCACCACCTCGTGCTCCCACAAGGAGCTCGAACAGTTCATCCACTTCACCAATACCTTCCACCCTAGCCTTAAGTTCACCTGGACCATCTCTGATACCTCTCTCTCCTTCCTGGACCTCACTGTTTCCATCTCTGGCAACCACCTGGAAACCGATATCCATTTCAAGCCTACCGACTCCGACAGCTACCTAGAATACAACTCCTCCCACCCACCTTCCTGCAAAAATGCCATCCCCTATTCCCAATTCCTTCGCCTCTGCCGCATCTGCTCCCGGGATGAGGCATTCCACTCCTCATTTCTCAAGGACCGCAACATCCCCCCAACAGTGGTCGAAAACGCCCTCGACCGCATCTCCCGCATTTCCCACAACTCATCCCTCACACCCCCTCCCCGCAATAACAACCAAAACAGAATCCCCCTCGTCCTCACGTACCATCCCACCAACCTCCGAATCCAAAGCATCATCCTCCGACACTTCCGCCATCTGCAATCCGACCCCACCACCAAAGACATTTTTCCCTCCCCACCCTTATCTGCTTTCCAGAGGGACCACTCTCTCCGTGACTCCCTCGTCCGCTCCACACTCCCCACCAGTCCCACCACACCCAGCACATTTCCCTGCAAACACAGGAAGTGCCCCTACACCTCCCACCTCACCCCCATCCCAGGCCCCAAGAAGACCTTCCACATCAAACAGATGTTCACCTGCACATCTGCTAATGTGGTATGCTGTAACCGCTGTTCCCGATGTGGCCTCCTCTACATCAGGGAAACCAAGCGGAGGCTTGGGGACCGCTTTGTGGAATATCTACGCTCGGTTCGCAACAAACAACTGCACCTCCCAGTCGCGAACCATTTCAACTCCCCTTCCCACTCCTCAGACGACATATCCGTCCTCGGCCTCCTGCAGTGCCACAACGATGCTACCCGAATGTTGCAGGAACAACACCTCATATTTCGCTTGGGAACGCTGCAGCCTAATGGTATCAAGGTGGACTTCACAAACTTCAAAATCTCCCCTCCCCCGACCACCTCCCAAAACCAACCCAGCTTGTCCCCGCCTCCCTAACCTGTCCTTCCTCCCACCTATCCCCTCCTCCCACCTCAAGCCCTACACCCATCTCCTACCTACCAGCCTCATCCCACCCCCTTGACCTGTCTGTCCTCCCTGGGCTGACCTATTCCCTCCCTAACTCCCCGACACTCACCTTTACTGGCTCCACCCCCGCTTCTTTGACCTGTCTGTCTCCTCTCCACCTATCTTCTCCTTTATCCAAATTCTTTCCGCCTCCCCCTCTCTCCCTATTTATTTTAGAATCCCTTTTCCCTCCCCCATTTCTGAAGAAGGGTCTAGACCCAAAACGTCAGCTTTCCTGCTCCAACAAATGCTGACAACAAGTTTCTCCCTCATAGGACAGCCTAGGACTAGATGGCATAGTCCCAAAACAAAAGGGTGCCAATAGAAGAGTGGGATGAGGAGGAATTTCATCTCTCAGAGGTTTGAGAATCTTTGGAAATCCTTGCCACAGAGACCTGTGTGTGGGGGCGGAGGCAGAGTTCTTGTGTATATTTAAGACTGAAGCAGATAGATTCTTGAGCAGGTGGTGAATCAAGGTGTCCTGTGTTCAAACCCCAGCTGTGGCAGATCTTGGAGTTTGAATTCAATAAAACTCTGCAATTAATGATGACCATTGTTGACTGTCGGAAGAAAAGTGACATCTGGGACACTAATGTCCTTTAGGGGATGGGAAACATGCCATGCTTACCTTGTTTGGGCTTACATGTGACTACATCTTGCAGCAATGTATTTGACCACTGAACTGCCCTCTGGGGCAATTACAGATGGGCAATAAATGCTGGTGCAGCTAGTGATTTCCACATTCCATTAAGACATAAAGCAGGAAAGTGGACGTGGGGAATGTCGGATCAGCCCACAAACCTACTGAAAGGTGAAGCAGGCTCAAGGGGCTAAATGGCCTACTCCTGTCCCTATTTTCTGATGGTCTTGAATCCAATACGACCAAACATCACTAACCTGCATTTGCGATCGTCTGAGCTCGTACACTGCCTGCAAAGGGGGGAGAAGGTATAATATTCATGAACTGATCATTAGCGCACATTACCAACATGAAACAAATTGATTTTGAATCATAAAATCACAGAACCATACAGTACAGAAGAAGCCTTTTGGCCCATTGGCCACTGACATGCAAGAAACACATGACCTTCAACCTAATCCCATCACAGCTTTGAATGTTATGACATGTCAAGTGCTCATCCAGATACTTTTTAAAAGATTTCATTTGATTTAATTTATTCTTGTTACATGTACTGAAATACAGTGAAAAGTATTGTTTTGCATGCTAACCAGACAAATCATCCCTTTTATAAGTCCAACAGGGTGATAGAAAAGAAAGAATAGTGTTGCAGCTACAGAAAAGGGGCAGGGGAAGATCAACTTTAATGTGTCAGAATCTGTTCATAATTGTGATAACAGCAGGGAAGAAGCTGTTCTTGAATTTGTTCGTACGTATTCTCAAGCGTTTGCGTTTTCTGCCCAATGGAAGAAGGTGGAAGAGAGTATATTGGGGGTGGAAGGGGTCTTGCTGAGGCAGAGGGAAATATAAACACAGTCAATGGAGAAAGGTTGGTTTTTGTGATGGACTGGGGTTACGTCCACAGCTCTTTGTAATTTCTTGCGGTCTTGGGAGAAGCAGTTGCCAGAGCAAGCTGTGAGGCATCCAGATCAGATGCTTTCTATGGTGCACCTACAAAAAATGTTATGAGCTATTGTGGGCATGCCAATTTCCATAGCCTTCTGAAGAAGTAGAAGCATTGGTGCGCATTTTTTTGGCTGCAGCATCAACATGGATGGACCAGGATAGACTGTTGGTGATATTTTCCTGAAGGAACTTGAAGCGCTTGACCACCTCCATGTCAGCACCATATGAGGCAACTCACCTCTACACCCTCCCAGGCAGACTGTCCTCACCCTCCAGAATGAACGGTATTCCTTCACATCCACTCGCAATCTCCTGCCCGTCACCTTCAACCTGTGTCCCCTCATGACCGACTGTTCAACTCAAGGGGAACCGCTGCTCCTTATCCACTCTTTTCATGCCCCTCATCATCCTACACATCTCAATCAGATTGCCCCTTAGGCTTCTCTGCTCCAGGGAAAATAACCCAAGCTTGACCAGCCTCTCTTCACTGCTCAAATGTTCTGTTCCAGGCAACATCCTGGTGAATCCCCTCTGCACCCCCTCTGGTGCAATCACATCCTTCCTATCGTACAGAGGCCAGAACTGCACACAATGCTCCAGCTGCAGCCTCACCAAAGTCTTATACAGCTCCAATTTCACCTCTCCACCCTTATAATCTGTCCTGACTATTAAAGGCGAGTGTCCTGTTTGCCTTTTTCACCAACCAACTAACATGTCCTTCCGCAATCTATGGACAAACACGCCAATACTCTTTGTTTCACAGGACTTCATAGTGTTATGGAAACCAATGAAAAATGTCTTGTTAAATTACTCCTTCCAAATTGTATCACCTCACACTTTTCAGGGTTGAATTCCATCCGCTATTTATCTGCCCATTTGACAATCCTGTTTATATCTTTTTTCTTTGTGATTCATTCATAGGAGAAGGGCATCACTGACTAGGCAGCATTTATTGCCCATCTGTAACTACCCAGAGAGCAGTTAAGAGCTAACCACATTGCTGTGGGGTCTGGAGTCACATGTAGGCCAGACCAGGTAAGGATGGCAGATTTATTTCCCTCAAGGACATTAGCGAAACAAATGGACTTTTCCAACAATTGACAATGGATTCACAGTCATTATTAGACAATTAATTTTCGATTTATATTGAATTCAAGTTCCTCCATCTGCCATGGTGGGATTCAAACCTGGGTTCCCAAACATTAACTGTGTTTTTGGATTAATGGTCCAATGATAAAAACACTAGGCCATCGCTTCCCCAAGATATGCAAATCTCACTGTTAATCTTCCGACCAATCTTTAGATCATCTGCAAACCCAATAATCCAACACCCCCACACAGCCATCTGTGTCAATAATCAGATGGGCCTGTGGGCCAAGGAATGGTAGATGGAGTTTAATTTAGGTGAATGAGAGATGTTGCATTTTGATCAGACAAAACAGGGTAAAGACTTACATAGTTAATGGTAGAGAACTGGAGAGTGTTTTTGATCAGAGAGACCTGGGGGTGCAGATACATAGTTCCTTGGAGGTGGTACCACAGGTAGACAGGGTGGTGAAGAAGGCATTTGGCATACACGCCTTCATTGGTCAGACCTTTGAGTATAGGAGTTGGGATGTCATGTTATGGCTGTACAAGACATTGGTAAGGCCACATTTGGAATACTGTATGATTCTGGTTGCCCTGCTATGGGAAGGATGTTATTAAACTGGAAAGGGTGCAAAAAAGATTTACAAGGACAATAACAAGTCTGGAGGGTTTGTGCTATAAGGAGAGGCTGAATAGGCCAGGACGTTTTTCCTGGACCATAGGAGGCGAAGGGTTGACAATGTAGAGGTTTATAAAATCATGAAAGGCATAGGTAAGATGAATAGCAAAGATCTTTTCTCTGAGGTAGGCGAGGCCAAAAGCAGAGGGCATCGGTTTAGGATGAAAGGGGGTTAAAATTTAAAAAGGACCTGATGGACAACTTTGTCACACAGAGGATGGTGCATACATGGAACAAACTGTCAGAGGAAATGGTGGAAGCTGGTACAATTACAACATTTAAAAGGCATCTGGATGGGTAAATGAATAGGAAAGGTTTAGAGGGACATGAAGCAAATGCAGGCAAACTGGACTAATTCACCTAGGAAGCCTGGTCGGTGTGGACATGTTGGGCCAAAAGGTCTATTTCTTTACTGTGTGACTCTATGACTCTACAAATGACAAATGATAGGGGACCCAGCACAGATCTCTGTCATGCGCCACTGGATACTAAATTAGCTGCCAGTCACTAAATTATCCTTCTGTCATCACCTTCTATCTTCTACCTGAGCCTGTTTGAATCTACTTTATCAAATGACCCTGTGTCCCATGTGCATTTGCCTTCTTGATCATTCTCCTATATGGGACCTTGTCAAAGGCTTTGCTGAAATTTTCCACATGATTAACAAGATGTCGGAGGGTTCTGCTTTAGGGCAAGCTACCAATGATGCCATTGGCACAGCAATGTTAAACGCACTACCCTTATTGTAGAAAGACCCAGTCTAATGCTTTAGCATCTTCAAATCCCCCACCCAGCTGCCAAGCATCCAATCAGTCTGAAATTTCAACTGGTCCAAATAATATTGACGCTTGTCTTGGAATGTCGACACAAAACTCATCTGGTCAACTGACATATCTAGGGGAAGGACATCTGTCAATTTCATGAGACTTTGTGACATTGCTGGGGTTTGTTTGAGGATTTAATGAACAGATTTGATAAAACACAGCTGTTAGTTTAGCTAGATTTTCAGAAGGTGTTTGATGAAGTAGCTTACATAGGGGCTTGGGTACAAAAATTCAAATGTGTGGAGTTGCAGGTCATGTACGAACAGTCTGATGATTGGCAAGGAGATGGAAACCAGAAAGTGTGAACAAAGAGACCTGTGTTTTGTATAAAAGCAGAAAGTGCTGGAGAAACTCAGCAGGTCTGGCAGCAGCTGTATATATATATATATAGAGAGAGAGAGAGAGAGAGAAAGAGAGAAAACAGAGTTAATGCTTCAAGTCAGTATTAGTTCTAAAGAAGTGTCGAGTGGAACTAATGTGGATTCCTGTGGTTCAATCTTCTGTGTTACTGATAAATGGCAGCACCAAGAAAGCAACTAACACACATTAAAAACATAGTACTAAACAGTATCAATAGTATCAAAGACTTGTCCCCAAACACCCTTACTGTGGGACTTTGGATAGACAACATTCACACTCAGACACAGTAATGATGTGTCTTCCAAAACCTATTGTCACAAAAGAAGATTGTTTCAATGACACTTCCGCTTTTTACTTTATTTCTCAATCTGAATATTACAAACAAAGTTAAGTATTGATCAGTATTTCCTGACTGGGATTGAATTGGAATGGACTGTACTCACCGATGGCCAAGAATAGCAGGCTGACAAACATTCTGATGTAACACAGTGTGGAGCTGGAGGAACACAGCAGGCCAGGCAGCATCAGAGGAGCAGGAAAGCTGACGTTTCGGGTCAGGGCCTGTTGGGGGATCCAGTAGGAAATTGCTGGAGATAAAAATACGTGGCTCTAGTCATCAACGTTGCCACAAGTGTTTTCAAAACCACTGTGGAAATGACAAATCTGTTTAATTTCGATCAGGAAGATGAAGGGCTGAGCGAATCACTTGCAAACTACGTTACAAAAAAGAAATTGCGTGATCAGTGTAGAGCAGGTCAGCTGTTAAGTGGGAACTAGCACTGTTGCGACATCGAGACAGACAGCAGATCTGAATCAGCCTTCCTATCTCTATATTGATCAGTGTATGAAGAATGACAAAGTGTCAATGTCATTGCGATAGGGACATTGAAATGAAGTAAAAAGACTTTGTGTTAGTGGGAGGGGAAGAGTTGAAGGAGAACATTGTTGACCCAAAACAAGGTGTGGAGTTATCAGATAGTGCCTGAGATATATCCAGATGTGGAAAAACTAATAGTATTTTGTAAGGAAACATAGATTTGATTTGAAGTGCAAGATCCTAAAAAATGTCTGAGCAGAAAAAGAAACATTAGATTGTAGAATCATACAGTACAGAAAAAGGCCCTTCAGCCCATAGAGTTTGTACTGCCAGAGCACTCTAAATTTACATCAACTAAGCCCATTGGCTTGAATGTTACAACACTTCGAAAGATCATAGGAAATAAGAACACCAGAAGGCCATTTGGCCCATCCAGCCTGCTCCATCTCATCAGGTGCTCATCCAAGTCCTTTTGAAAGGTTATGAGGTGTCCAGCTTCAAATACACTCCCAGGCAATGCATTCTAGACCCTCACCACCCCCTGGGTGAAACAATCCTCAAGTCCCCCTCTAAAAACTTTCTGCCTTTTATTTTAAAATGATGCTATCCATCCCCCTCCCAGGGGAACAGCGGCTTCCTATCCATCCTCTCCACTCCATAATCTTACACACCTCTATCAGGTCCTCCTAACCCTTCTCTCCTCCAAAGAAAACAATCTGGGTTTATCCAGCCTCTCTTCATTACTGAAATGCTCCATCACAGGCAACATCCTGGTGAATCTTCTCTACACCTCCTCCAGATGGAAGTCTGGTTTTCATGATGGACTGGGTTGTGTTCACAACACTCTGCAATTTCTAGCAGTCTTCGGCACAGCAGTTACCATACTAAGCTGTGATGAATCTGGATAAGATGCTTTCTATGGTGCACCTATAAAAAATGGTAAGAATAATTGAGGACATGCTGAATTTCCCTTAGCCTTCCTTGGAAATAGAGGCATTGGTATGTAGCATTGACATATTGGGCCATTATATATTATTGATGATATTTACTCTTAGGAACTTGAAGCTCTTGACCACCTCCGTCTCAACACCATTGACACAGACAGGGATGTGTCCTTCACTCCACTTTCTGAAGTCGATGACCAGCTCCTTTGTTTTGCTGACATTAAGGGAGAGATTATTGTCTTTGCACCATGCCACTAAGCTGTCTCTTTCCTGGACATTCTATCATCATTGTTTAAGACACAACCCACTGTGGGGTGGTGCCATCAGCAAACTACTACTGCTTCCTATCCAGCCTGTCCATTTCCTCATAATCTTACACATGTCGTGGTCAGTTCTGACAACAGGAGACTCATTAGCTTTTCATCCCTGTGTAAGTGTCACCATCACATCTCACACTCATTCTATCACTGCTACTTACCGTGAGTGATAAGGCTTATGCTGCACCATTCCGATTAATGTCTGCAACATATTCCCTCTCTCACTCTTATCCCAGATACTGGTGGCTCGATATTCCCTCTGTGCTACTCATTCACTTGCTCAAGGCCACCTACCCAACTGCACGAAAAACAATAGCTATGCCTCCCACTTTCATTTTTCTTAGTACCTTCCTTAGTAGCTAGGGCAGGAAGACACAGACTGGCGGTTGGCTGCTTAACGTACAACTCCAGCCCCACCCCGGTCTCTATCATCACTTATCTCCATGAACTCTCTCCTGCCTTCATCATCCCTTTTCCCCATGAAGTCTCTCCTGTCTCCATCATCCTTTTTCCCCATGAACTTTTGCCCTGTCAACATCATCCCTTTCCCTATCGAGTCTCCCTCATCATCCATTTTCCCCATGAACTCTCAACCATCGTCATTCTCCCTTTCCTGTTGACAGTACTCCATTTCCATCATCTCTTTTCCCCATTGACTCTCCCCCATCTCCATCATGCCTTTACCCATCAACTATCTCCTGTCTCCACCATTTTGCTCCCCATGAACATTCCCCTGGCTCCATCATTCCTTTCTCCATTGACTCTGTCCCATCGCTGTTCCCTGTTGACTCTCACCACATCTTCTTTATCCTTCATCCCCATTTCTGTCCCATTTCATTCATCCCTTTCTCATGAACCTCTCCCCAACCCAATTCCATCATATTTTTTCCCATTGGCACTCTCCATTTTCATAACCTCTTTTCCACATTGGCATTCTCCATTTCCATCATCCCTTCTCCCCATTAATACTCCCTTCTTCATCATCCCTTATCTCATTCGCTCTCGCGACTCCCATTCTATGCTTCATATTCTCTTTACTCTGCTCTCTATCTTTCTGTGTCTCTGAACTCTTCCTTCATAAGCTATAGACCAGGAGAGGCCATTCAGTCCTTCAGGCCCGGTCTGCAGTCAATGAAATGGCAGATCTGCGCTGACCTCAGCTCTGAATGTCCTGCCTGACTCTGTAAACATTGACTCCCTTCTCAAGGAGAGGATTCAATATCAGATCAGTTACTGAGCAGGAAATGCAAGGCTGTCTCTCCCTCAGCATCTCAATTCCATGAGTCCCTCCCTGTCCCCTTTCTCCCCTTGTGTACTTTCATCATCTTCCCTATAACTTTCCCACTTCTGTTCCAAGCTCCCTCCCTCAATATTTCACTCTGTGTTTACTCATCAATATTTCCTGGGATTAATTTTACATCAATTATTAACAATAAAAGTTGCTTAACACTTTATTTCTCTTACCCAATGTGCTCTACCATCAAAACATAGCCATTATTAGATGTTTAAAATTTTGGTGAATTGTGGTGAGAGATCACTGCTATTGTACATGCTTCTGCCTATGTTTCCTTCCAGAGTGAATTTCCACCACCATTCCCATCACACCAAAATGGGAAATTGCTGGAGAAACTCTGCAGCTCTGTGAGGGGAAAATAGAATTGAACTTTCGGGTCCACTGACCCTTATGCATGCGCGGTTTGCTGTCACCTTCCCCACAACAAACTTGATTTCATATTGTTTTGTGAGACGGTGAATTATTGTGGTGTTTAGTAGATTATAGAAACCCTACAGTGTTGAAGCAGGCCAATCAGCACATCAAATCCACACCGACTGATGGAACAGCATCCCACCCAGTTCCAACCCCCAACCCCATGCCTGTAACCCTGCATTTCCCATGGCCAATCCACCTAACCTGCACATCTTTGGACTGTGGGAGGAAACTGGAGCACCCAGAGGAAACGTGTGCAGACATGGGGAGAATGTGCAAAATCCAAACAGACATTTGTCTGGAGGGTGGAATCAAACTAGGGTCCCTGGTGCTTTAAGGCAGCAGGCTAACCACTGAGCCACCATGGTGATATGTCATATTACTGAAACATAGAAAGACCTGTAAGGTTCAACTGCAGTTTGGAAAAAAAAAATCAAATTTTCACCTTCAGAGAAAATGAGGAACAGAGAGTCAGAGCGTGATCCAGTGAGATCAGATAGTGTTTGATCCGAGGAGGATGGGACCAGTGAGACCAGGCAGTGTGTGACCCAGGGAGCCAGTGAGATCAGACAGTGTGGGGTGGCACAGTGGCTCAGTGTTTAGCCTCACAGCACCAGGGACCTGGGTTCAATTCTAGCCCCAGCCATGGATCTGTGTGGAGTTTGCAAATTCTCCTCCTGTCTGTGTGGGTTTCTTCTAGATGCTCCGGTTTCTTTCCACAGTTCAAAAATGTGCAGGCCAGGTAGATTGGCCATGCTAAATTACCCATCATGTGCAGGCTAGGTGTATTGACCATGGGGAAATATAGTGTTACAGGGATAGGGTGGGTTTAGGTGGGATGCTCTTTTGAGGGTTGGTGTGTACTTGATGGGCTGAATAGTCTGCTTGCACACTGTAGGGATTCTATGCTGACCTGGGGTAGATAGAGCCAGTGAGATGAAACGTACAGGTTTATTATTTTGTTTTAGTTTTTTTTTAAATTTGTGGTACTTTCAGCAGTATTTAAATATTTTTCAGATATCAAATTAACTGAAATGAGTAATGCCTCATGTAAAAGCAGCTCAAGGATACAACATTGCCATCATGCCCCTGCTCCTAGTGAAGGCGACTAAGCCACTGGATCCTGTGCCAGTGATCAGTATCAGAGTCAAAGTTCAGTTTCTGGAGAGGGTGGTCATGCTACAACAGCCAGGGCCAGTGAACAAAGTCAGATTCAAGATTCTGTTACAACAGTAGTTCAGGCTACAGGAACCTGTATAAACGAAGTGCCTCTTTCTGGAACTTTATTAAGCAGGAGTACCCCAAGCATTGGACAACAATCAGGTGAGTACTCTTTACAAGTAAAGCAATTCTGAAGACTTCAAATACTACAGTATTAGATCTGTCCAATCGCTCACTGACCAGCAAAGAATTAATAACTTTCAAATATGAACCAACGTGGGATGTGTTTTTGTTTTTTCCTGTACCTCTGGGTTTTACTTTTTCAGGATTTTATTTAGAGTAATTACTTCTTGAAAACATTTAATACGACGGCCTCAACCATTCTCTGCGGCAGAGAATTCCATAGGCTTACCACTCTCTGGGTGAAAACATTTCTCCTCATCTCAGTCCGAAATGGTCTACCCCATATCTTACGACTGTGACTTCTGCATCTGGACTCCTGGTCATCAGGAATATCCTACCCTGTCTCATCCTATGAAAATTCTATCAGTTTCTACGAGATTGCCCCTCAATCTTCTAAACTGGAGCGAATGTAGTCCAAACTGTAGTTTTTTTTAATATTTGTTGCATTCCCACAATAGCCAGGACATCCTTCCTCAGATGAGGAGACCAAAACTGCATCCAGTGCTCCAAATTGGTCTCATCAAAGCCCTGTACAAAATCAACAAGACATCTCTGCTCATGTACTCAAATCCTCTCACAACAAAGGCCAACATACC